GCCACCCTGGCGTCCTCTTCCACAACATCTTCGTCCCCGCTTTCCTCCTCTAAATAAAAAATGGATGACGGAGGAGACTCATCCACGACCTCCGACACTAAACTCTCCTCCTCTTGCATGTTTCCGCTGTCCATAGTGTTCCTTTTCAGTGTCGTTGCTAAGTGCTACTTGGTCCCAATGGAATTTCCCATTGGGAACCTACCAGCACTAAGTTGCTAACTGGTTAGCAAGATGCTTCCGACTAACCCGCCACAACCAAATGTGCTTGCGAACTTTCCACCACAACAATCCCGCCCACTTGATAAACTGACCAATCACATTCACTTTATTCTCTCGTTTAAAGTCGTGCACCATTCGGGAGAATTCAGAACTGCAGCCGCTTCCTTAGGCTACGACTTTACATTTTTCTTGCTTTGTCTTCCAAAAAATCCTCCTGGCGTTTTTTGTTTGCTCTTTTATTCGTTGTGTTTTTTTTATTATTTTCTTATTGTAAATATTTCAAAGTGTTCTAAATGGTTCAATTAGTATTTCTACTTGGAATTTAGTAGAAAACCATTAGGCTTCCATTTAAACAGCTGAACTTACTTGCTACCCAGTCACCCAGTGATGACCGTACTCAAGTTTTTTCCAATTTTATTGTCCTATGATTTTACAATTTTCTAATTATGTTTTAGCTAGACTGCTATTGCCAAAGTCCTAATGTTTAGTCAAAAGCATTAGAAAATGTTTTGAGGACTGAGGCTGTGATCTCAATTGAGGTTTGTCAGGTGATCCAGTGAATTTTGTCTGATTATAACTGGCATGGATAACTGGGTTTAATAAGGACCATTAAGGTACTGAGGTGTTGCGGATGTTGGGATGTCATCGTGCTCTTCATGTTTTGCTGCAGGAGCTTCAGTTTGAGCGACTGACCCGCGAGCTGGAGGAGGAGCGGCAGATTGTGGCGAGCCAGCTTGAGAAGTGCATGCTGGGAGCTGAGTCACCAGTTGCAGACAGTAGCAGGTAGGTCCTCTTTACTTGTTTCACAGGGATTTAAAATATTAGATTTAAGATTCCCTGCAAAAATAGATGTTGAATAATTTCCATGAAACAGTTTCAGGAACAATTTGCTCCGAAGCGTTTGGTCAAAATTGACTCTGTCCAGATTTTTACTGGAGTTTTAGAGCTTTTGTACTCTAGGAACCTGGAAATTTCCCCTTAAGTAAAATTCTTTGACCAAGTTGTCGCAACCTTGCAAATTTTTTTTTTTTTTTTTTTTTTTTTTTCTTTTTGCCATACAGAGATGGGATCTGATGAAGTTCATAGTGTCTAAATGACTTTTAAGCCTTTACTCTGAGTAGGCCAAACCTTCATAAAATTTTTTTAGCCTTACTGTCTACTTCATAGCTGGACTTTTTCTTGTCATCCTCCAGTTTCTGAACCATCCCAGACCATCATAATACCTACACCGTGTTTGCCTGTTAGCATGATCTTTTTCAGCAATGCTGTGTTGGTATTACACCAGATTTAACAGATCACACACCTCCAAAAAGGTCCAAATTTTTCACATAAGTCCACAGAACATTTTACTAAAACTACCAGGGATCATCCAGATGTTTTGTGGTAAATGAGACGGGTCTTCATGTTCTTTTGGGTCAGCAGTGGTTCTGACCTTGGAACTGTCCTGTAATTTTGGTAGCGCAACTACTTGGGGAAAATTTTTCTCCTGTTCTGTTTTCTCCATCTTTTGCTAAAACCTCCCACTGTGATTCACTAGAGTCCCATAGCATTTGCCTTTTAGACATTTTATACTAATTATTTTTGCTTTTGAGATCTTTTAACTTACTTCATGCCTTGAGACAGGTTTGGTTCAGTAATTCCTTGTTTCTACAGGTCTAGCAGCTATAAGGCCTGTCTGATGATACTGAGTTAAATGTGCTGCCATTTATAGGAGCAGCTGGTTTGGATTGTTCTTTTTTACTATGATGAAGTCATCACTTGAAAGCAGCATTTGTATTTGCTCAGATTCTCTTTTTCTCTCTTTTTCTAAATAAATAAGGGGTTCTCCTACTAAATATAATTATTTTAACATCTAAAACACCAAAGAGAGGCAAGATTAGAGGAAATCTGCAAAGAGGAAACATCATTTTTAACAGCAATGTATATAACTGAGCCTTTGAAAATGATTATGATATTGTTTCAGTTGAGGAAGAGCAACAATAAATTCAAGCTTCTGCTGCATAAAACCTCTGACTGAAATTATATGAAGACTGACTTGGTCTAGAAATATGTCTATTGACTGAAATTTTGAGATTAACCTTTTGAAATAAAAAGTTTCTAAAGATCTTTATGTCTTTAAGATGCTGCTGATAATCCATTGCTTTAAATGTTTAAAAGCTTTAAAATTGTCTGGTATCTCTGGTAGGCATAAAAACTGATAAACCATCAATAATCTCTTGACTTTTTTTTTTTGGGGGGGATAATTTTGCTCAGTTTTTAACTAGTGTTGCACCGATACCCATACTAGTATCAGCTGGGGCCCCAATACTGCACTAAAATGGTGGTATCGGTATCAGCGAGTACCAACAAATAGGGCACCGATACCATTTTGAGAGCCAAGAGTTTATTCAACTATTGTCACCCATTCCAGGTAGGCAATAAAAAGTTCTAGTGGATTCACTTTGTCTTAGTCTTTTTTTTTCCTGCTTCACAAAGGTACACTGCAAAAATGATCTCAAAATGAGTAAAAAATGTCTTAAATTAAGGGTATTTACCCTTAATTTGAGCAGGTAAATAATATGATTTGCCAATGGAATTAGTATTTTTACTCTTAAAATAAGGTATCTAGATAAAATGCCCTTGAAATAAGACAATGCAATTGTTTTTTCTTATTTTAAGTGTAAATTGTCTTGTTCCATTGGCAAAGGGTCTCACTTAAATCCTTAATTCAAGAAAAAAATGCACTTATTTTAAGAAGAAATTATTTATTTAGATTTAATTTTTTTGCAGTGTAAGCAGCAGCTTGAAAAAGCCATGATGGCAATTATTTTACATTCAAGTAGTATGCAGTTCTCACATACATTTCAAACCGATGGTATCAGTATCGGCCAATACTGCACAGCCAGGTATCGGTATCAGGTGCAACACTAGTTTGTTTTTACAGAATATGTGTTTTACATTTTCCCTTCCAGATGATGTTGGCTGCTGTTCTTTAAATAAAGATTTAGACATGTTGCTTTCAAAGACTTTTACTTGTATCTCTCTTTCATTTCTCAGTATAGAATTGTCATTTATCTTTAAGTTAACACCATCTTCTTCCTCCTTCCTGATTTAACTGAACATTAAGTGTTCTTCTTTGATTTAATTACCTTTCACTCTCCTGTCTCCTCCATTTCCTCCTCTTCTCTGTTCCAAAGCTCTTCTGAGAAGTCGTATGCATGGAGATCTGCAGGTACTCTTTATTATTTATAACTTTTATATAACAGCGTATAAATATCTTTAATCTAGGATTGTGGTTTGCTTTGGTAATCCTAAAAAAATAAAATAATAAAATCAAGGTTGAGAATTTTTGTGTTTTTCATAATCTTGTAGCTTTAAATGTGATTAAATATTTATCAATTTGTGAGGCAAAAACGTTTTTCCAGATAAGAATAACATTAAAGCCTCCAGAGGACTGAAGATTACTGGCATGCAGCACCAGGCGGTCAAGCAACACATATGATTCTTACTGACTGTTGGCTTCTGTACCCTTATCCTGAGATGTCTGGGTTATTATTATTTATAAATCCTTTTCCTACCAAATTGGAAACATTGTTAGCTTTTAAAAAAAGCTCAAAATTAAAATAATGATCTTTATTTTGTGGTATGGCAACTGTGTAAAAGATTTCAGTGAATGCTCTACATCTTCCGTCCTCTGAAGAATTTGAATCTACAGAAAAATGTTTGGCTAAAAAGGGTTTTGTATGATAGGTGGTGAGTCTCAGGGCGTGGCTGCAGACGTATCAAGTCGCCACCATGAGGCGGAGGAAGGACTCTACCTGCCTGAAGGGGACCGCGCCTCCCTGCATGACAGTGAGGGTTCGTCAACAATCTATGGAGCACAAAGAGAGAACAAAACAAGCTAACATTTAAAAAAAAAAAAGATATGCAATCCTAATGCAATAAATTTGCCTTGAAAATTAGATTAAATGTAATAATAATGCCCATTTGTAAAGAAGAAAGAACCTGCTTTAAACTACTGTTCAGGAGCAGGTAGGAGATAAACACTAGGGATTAGAAGTGAAATCTTTAGTGGAGCCTTTTCCAAAAAACTTGCGTTTTTGTTGCCTGTTATTGCAAGTATGCAACAAACCCTATGATTATTAAATCAGCCAAAAAAAGTATGTATATTCCCCCAATGCCAGTCATTTCACATTCAGTGCTGACCTAGGAACCTTTAGCCCTTTGGCCATTTCCCCTGTTTCTGGTACAACTTGGTCCCCGAGGGTGAATGTTATCACTGACTATAACTGTTGTCACAGTTTACAATATAGCAGCCTTTTTCTTTAAGGGTTGTGATCATCTGACTGCTTTAGTTCTCACAAATAAAAAGTAGATTTTTAGATTGTGAAGGAAGATGTTTATTTAATGCTAAAACATCCAGGAATTCAGATTATGTATACACTTCATTAACTATATGATAATCAATGATATTATATGTCAACTAAAATTATTGTGTTGCATGGTTTAACTCCACTTTTATTAAACCAGGAAAAAAATTGGCAAATATGTTGTGATATGAACATCACCAGTGTATATAAAAGTGCTTTAAGAGCTCCTGCTTTTAGGGAGGTGATGAAGGCAGGAATGAGTCAGAGCAGGATGTATTAGGTTCAATTTCAGAGCAAAAAACTTGCACTTATCTAGTGGTCATTCAGGTTTGCATCAGTAAACACACATCTGGATGAGATTTTTTTGCTATGGCCCCTGGCCGCAGGGGCCACAACAATTTATGCTTCTTGTTTGATATGTTAAGATTCTGAGCTCTGGTCAGGCATCTGATAATTTTCAGGTTAGGCTTGTAGAATAATTCGTACTTAACTTATAATCATCTGCATACATCAACTTTGTAAATATAGATTATTTAACATGATAATTTCAATTGGGTAATTCGTTTGCATTAGTCTTGTTGCACCTGTGTAATAAAATTCCCAGCCTGAATTGAAATATAAAAACCCTTTCGAAGCTGCTTCAGTATTTTTTAGACGTTAAAGTTACTTAAATAATGTTTTTTGTAAAGGATAATGAGAAAATGTGATTTTCTTTACTTAAAAACACCCAGAACATAAAGTTTGCCTCCTCCCTGCTGCTCAAATGTTTTATTTTTAGCAGTAAAACTTTCATACCTCTTCACACCTGGAGCTCGGCAGCGCAGCTGCAGCCGCTCTCTGTTGGACACTTGGTGTTTTCACTGGAGCGTTTGACACTTTAGTTCCATCAAGCTTCCTGCAGCATGTTAAACCACCAACGATGCCCAGCTGATAGAGCGGAGCAGCAAAGCAGCTGGCGTGGCTGTAAACTCTGATTTGAGCGGATTGTTGTTTTTGTTAGTTTCTTCCTCTCTACAGTTTAAATAATTTACAGCCCGTTCTTGTGATCCTGAGAACCGTTTAACCTCAGATGTTCTGCAGTTAATTCCCACTTAGGTAAATATGCGGCGTCTGAAATGTTAAAACAAATTGCCTTCAGGCTTATTTGTATTCCATACGGTTGGAGTGGTCTCAGAGTATAAAAATATCCCCCACACGCTTCCTCCTCCTCCTCTTCCTCCCACTCATCCAACAGAAGAAAGTAGGGCAGCAGATTGCTCCAGCAGAAACATTAAAGTATAGCACATGTATCCTTGTGTATGTGTTTATACACAAAACAATATTCAACAAATTTGTGATGATGTGCTGTTGTTTTTTTCTCTTCCTCTCAGGTTCAGGAGGTCACTCAGCCCACATGACCTCGTTTTCCGACAGCGGGTACCAAGACAGCAGCGTCAGTTATTACAGCAACCAGAACGTGGTGCGTTCAGAACCCCGAGCCTCAGTATCAAGAAGCCCCAGAGCAGAAGGTCAAGCTTCGGGGCAGGTAGGCTTCCTTCCTCAGCAGGAAACCTCTTTTTGCTGAGAATCCAGAGGAAGGATGAGAAGTCGCCGGGAGAGCAGTGAGCAGAGCAGAGGAGCAGGACTTGTCCTAGTTGATAACTCATGCATCTAACATAGTGAACCACTGGTTCAGCTGGTTCTTTACATTCATGTGACAAGAAAGTTACTGAATAAAGAGATTTAAAGGCATGCTCCTATATAAAAACAAACTTTAACAAGGCTGCAATGCATTTTTTTAAATTAAGAAATTTTTTTTTCCTTATTCTATTGTATTAAATTTTAATTAGTCGCCATTATTCTATATGAGATGTATAGTTAAAAAAGGAATTTAGAAGCAGAAAAGCCTTTTTTTCTCACTTGAACTGTAAATTAGATTTAAAGATAAAGATCAAATAGAATAAATAAATTACTTTCTATTTACTGAATGACAAATTATAGTGTAGATTATATAGATGTTTATTTTTATTACACTTCAAATTCAGATATGTCCATCATGTTTAATCAAAATTTGGTAGAATTACTTGATTGATTTATTTATTGATTGACTCAATTGATCTCACAGTTTGCTTGTTACATCAGCTCAAATAGTCAAAAAAGAAAAAGTTTATGACAAAACTCATTCCAAAAAAATTAAAAACAATCTACTGGACTTGGTTTCCAAGTTTGAAGACCTTTCGCTTCCCATCCAGGAAGCTTTTTCAGTTCAAAATGTCAGAAATACCGTTGAGTTGTAGACTTTATACAGTAGCCCAGCAGAGCCCTGTTTTTTGTTTTGAAAACATGCAAATTGGAACAGACGAAGGGGTCCACCTATTTGGAATGGAGGTTGTTTGGCGTCTTTTGTTAGACTGCAAAACTCATAAAGTTTCATCAAGCTTCTTACAGTAGTTTGCTGGAGTTTTGACCAATTCCTCCTTAAGGAACTGGTGTAACTGGGTCAAGTTTGCTGACACACAACTTTTAAGCTCCGCTGAATGAGATCACACCTCAAAATCCTCGAATATTTCTCCCTTATCGACATTGTAAGTCGTATTGCAGGTCCGCATTCCTACCCAACTTTAACGTGCTGTCTGATTTCTTGAGATGTTTTAGTATTTCTGTCATGATGGGCTTCAGAGTTCCAACCCACATGCAGATACTGTAACCACTCAGAGACAAAGGGAAAAAGTTAACTGGTTTATTGCAGAGATTACAAGCTCAGAGAGATATAGATTAACAGGTTTTCTCAGAGGAAGATCCAGCGAACAGGTGAACTGAAACCGGAAACTCTAGGGGGGAAATCACAAGGATGAGTTCAAGGGCCGTAGCGAAAATGATTGAGGCTGCTAAATGGTTCAGTTAAGACTCACAATCAAGGGGTTCTTGGAAGATCCTTGGGTCCAGTTTGTGGAGGTATTGTCCAGAGAAGATTGTACTCGTTAGAGGGCGGACAGGCAGAGTAGTGAAACATCCAGAGGAGCAACAGAGTGGATTGTCACAGGCTTTTCCAGAGGTGGGCTTGAACGGATCAGGTGAAGGTTTCCCCTTGCTCAGAGAGACATGAATATTTCCTTCCAAGGGGGTATACAGTAAGGACCAGGCTTATCCAGCGGATCAGGAGGGTTATCCTACCGGAAAACACAAAGGAGAAAATGGCAAACCTAGACTCAGAGAGACAAAGGCACAATGGTTAGACTCAGCTAATCTCAGTTTGGCTAGAGTATCCATTACTGGCAAACACTCTGGCATTGAGGTGGTGACAGTCTGCTGCTCAAATACTCCTCTGGTGATGACCCAACAAGCTGCAGGTGTGGGAGGAGGCCAAAATGGGGAAGGGGCAGAATCTAGTGGTGGAAGGACAAGCTAAAAGAAAAACAAAACAAAAAGACCCACAAGCAGGACCCTAACAGTTTCTACATTAAGTAATTTCCTTCTGGGATTATTAAAGTATTTCTGATTCTGATTCTGATGATGCAGTGTGTTTTCTCAAAAGATTGAGTCCAATATGTGACCAAATCTTAGCTGGTTTTTCATGCAGTCGAGAGCTACTGGATTAAAAAATGTGTAAGCTAGTATATTTTTATATTTAACTTTTATATTGTATTCAGCCGGCACCTGAAGGGCAGAATGAGCGACTCCAGGAATCGTTATCAAACGACGGTTTATATGAACGGTCTGGGAGTTTTTGCTTTATGCATTTTTAAAACTGGGATTTAAAGACTATATTTGACCTTGGAAGGCAGAGGAAGTTTCTTAATGTTCTTCAATTTCCCTGACATGAATTATTCCACTTATTAATGTGGAGCTGAAGCTTTTTAAATAAAAAATAAACCCTGAGGGTAGAAAAAAAAAATGGACAGAACAGCGAAGCTCCACCACAGCTACTTTATTGAACCACACATGAGGAAAATATATTCTGCTCTCAGCGGGTGGCGTTTTTTCCTGTAGCTGCTGCCTGTTTCCTTTCTGCCTGGTTCCGATTGACAGCAGCTGCTAGATGCCCAGCAATTATTGCCATGAGCATCATGTCAAATTATTTCCTACCTTTAAAGTGTCACAATATTCTCTCTTTTCACTGCGGCCCATAATTATATGCTCTCTGTGTGACGGATGATTTCTGCTGATTTAAATGATCAAAACCCCCCAGGCTCACTGGAGGCTTGGTGATACTTTTCGTCAAACTTTAGCAAAGCTTCGTATCTTATTACTCATAATTGGGTTGAATATTTGAAAGAGTAATGATTCCAGGATGTCGAATACCTTTTATACATCATGACACTTTTCATACCTTGCTAACCAATTAAGTCACTTTTCCCCTCTACCGGTTTTAGTTGGATGTTGTGTGTTTTTCATTATTTTTTCCATCTCAACACAAGTACCTTTTAATGGTCTCCCACAAACATAACGAGCTGTGAAAATTAAAGGGCATTTATGGAGGGAATGTTGGAAACAGAGTCTTCTTTATCAGACTAATTAAATGTCACATTTGGCAGCATTGGGAAGACTAAGTTGTATATTGGATTTTTTTTTTGCAGGCGTCCAGTCGGATGTTAAGGAGAATGGCTTCCCTCCCCTCCAGGAGCCAGTCACCCGGCTGCGGCACCACCGGAACGGTCTCCCCCTCCCGCATCTCTATGCGGACGTCCCAAGGCAGCACATACGACTCGCCCATCCTGTCTGAGCCCAAACCCCTTGCTGCCGTCTTCCCTGGCACCCCCATGCCGCCTTCCTGCCCGTCTCCAACCTCCCCCAGCGACGCCGCCGCGGCCCTGGGAAATGGAGGAGCGATGTTAGGCGGGGGGAGACTGGGCTCCACCCTGTCCTTGATTGAGGGGAGGGCTTTGACAGGGTCACCACTGCGTTCAGGGATGACGGCGATGCCTCAGCACTACGGCTCCACGCTCCCCAGACAGAGTCAGTCACTGGCTTATGGTGCAGATCCATACGGCCTGTACCAGAGGAGCGCCCTGCCACGCCCAGACAGCCTCATAGGTCAGTTAGAAATCACAACAAATATGATCTGGCCTTATTTATTTTTCACAAAGCTTTTGATTTTCATCTTTTAAATGTTACTGTATTCATTCAAACTCTCATTTTGTAATAACAACCAGCAAAAAATTTAAATCTGAGTAAGTTTCATAAAAAAAAAGAGTATTTTTTTCTTGAATTAAGCAGCGAAGTGATACACTTTGCCAATGGAATAAGGCGATTTACATCTAAAATAAGAAAAACCAATTATGTTGTCTTATTCCAAGTGGATATTATCTAATTATCTCATTTTGAGAGTAAAACTACTCATTCCATTGGCAGATCTTATTATTTACCTGCTTAAATTAAGGCTAAATACACTTATTTTAAGACATTTTTACTTATTTCCAATTAGTTTTTGCAGTGCAGAGTTTGACTCAGTATTTCATTGAGGCGGTTCACATGTATAACTTTTCCAGTGTGGCTTATTGCTGTTTTTATTGGTGGAAATACTGTATTCCCACTGCAACAATCTAAAAATTTGTAAAACATTGAAATAAGGGTATTTACTGTACGCTTAATTTGAGCAGGTAATAATAAAATGGTAAAATAGTTTACAGTTGAAATGAGAGACTGCAGATGTTTTTTGTTATTTAAAATGAAATTGTCTCATCAGTTCAAGAAAAAATGCATTTATTTGAATAAAAAATGGCTCACTTAGATTTTCATTGTTTGGCCTCTTGTTAAATTCTAATTTTAAAATATGATTTGTTTTAATTAGAAACGACATTTTTGGCTTACATATACAAGGTCTAGTAGATCAGCACTGGTGGAACAATATAGGATAAAAAGCATCTTCCTCTGTGCAAATAAACATTTTAGGTTGCAGTGAAAGAAATCAACTGAATAGCAGGAGGTTGCTTTAGGAAGAAGATCTGCATTTTAGACACAGAAGCGACATCATTATGAATCTGCAATTTATAAAGTCAAGGGGTCGTATCTCACCTGCAGGCCCTGCTAATTTCATCCAGTCGGTTCATAATCTGAGTGGGAAATCACATCTCTGCTGTGAGAGGAAAGGATGTTGCACCAAAATAATGCACTTGAGACCATTTCCCCCGTTTATGTAATTACTCTCTTTTTGTAAACTTTTTTTTTTACTGTGGATTGAAAAAAGAGACTATCTATCTATGAGAAGAATATCTAGCTTTTCAATGAACTGTCTCCACCAGCATTTGCGGATGACATTCTTTCAAATGCAGCTGAATTACATGATGCAAGCTGGTGCAAAAGAGTGATGGAAGCACAGGCAGGAAGGGTTTCACATCCATCAGGTAGACACTGAGCCCGGGTTTCCTGTTAATTATGTTGGACGTGGTGATTGATGCGCAGGAGGAAGAGAAGACAGAGTTCTCAGTCGAGGATGAAGAAACGCTCACAGCATGAGTGAACAAAGCAGATCCCAGGGATTCCTCTTTCAGGCAGTTCTTGTAGCGAACTGATGGCCGAGTGAGGAGAGTGTTTTGCTATCGACTGGTCCAACTGGTTTGAATCAGCGGTGTGGGAACAAGCAGGAGGTATCGACTAGATGGATGGGTCATTGTCAAGTGCAAAAGTATCAAAGATATATTTATTTTTATTTCCTTTTAACTCACTAATCAATGTGTTTCCTGGTGCAGAACAGATTTTTAGGCATAACTTACAATGACTAATAAGTTGAGGCTTTATATAGAGCTGGATCCTCAGCAAAACGCTGCTGCCACCATGCTTAAGGTTGTCGTTATGAACAAAAGGTTTATCTTGAAGAAATTTGAAATGGCTTAAGTTCCTGGTTATGGAGGCGGGGCTTCTTTAGTGCTATGTCGTCAGTCCATGGCAATGTAAAGCTGCTTTTTGCCGCCATCAACAAGCTTCTGCATATTTCTGTTGCTATGTTTGACCGCTGTTACAGGATTATACGCATAATCCTCAGATTTTCAGCAGGGCTGAGGTTGGGAAAAGCCTTTTTAGGAGCTTAATATGCGTTTAATCCAATTAAAAAACTTTTTTTATCTGATAGTCATCGTGATGTCACTTGGATGTGAGAAAAATGTAACAGAACAATATGGAAGTTGCCCTTTTGCAGCGTTGCAGACAACAGTGCCATCAGCAACTGATCTGTCCCACAGGATGATGCTGCCTCTACCTTGCTTTGGTGGCTTGAGCATTCCGTTAAGTCATCCAAATATACCCATTTTTAAACATCTGTATTCCATCAGTAATGCTCTGTTGGTGAAAACAGCTGTTTCATGTTCATATTTTCCATTTATTTGTGGTTTTGTCTTTTTAAGTCTTCCTTATCTTTAACCTCCAAGTCATTAAACACAACATTTTCAACAACTTTTTTTTAGAGGTTTTCCACATAAAGTTCATTAAAATTAATGTGAAATATACAAAACAACACAAAACACAAAAGAAAACAACATAACATTTTTAGCTTCTCAAGAACCTGCTGTTAGATCTGACATCCCATCCAGATGTGGAGATGGATCCCATTAACATCTGGGTCTAATTTGAGGCCTTTGTTTCTAATAACTTGTTTCTTAGAAGACTCTTGAACAAGTTAGAGACGTTTCTCTCATAATTAATCTGCCAGATTAGCATAATAGGTGCAAACTTGACTGATGCTAACCTAAAAACCGTTCAATTTGTTTGCTCTTAACACACATTTTAAGTCATGTTGATTTATTGTTGTATAGCCAGCATCATGATTTTAAAGATGGATCTATCAGAACCGGTTTTTGCCATTTACATATAACTTTATTCGCTGAGGCTAAGGAGCTAATTGACATTCCTGGAGATCCGATCCTTCGACTTTGTGCCTCTGTGATGCAATAAGACAGCCGTGTCTTGCTGAGAAACTTGAGAAGGGATTATTTCTGTGCTGCTGCCAGAATCTTCACTGAGCCCGGCTTACGGACGTCTTTAGGACGCTTTCTGAGCAAATTTCCCACCAGAAAGAAAAGCACACTTTCTAGCTTTAAACCAACGGTGTTTATATTTGGCACAAGGATCTCCCTACGCTGAAAAGTCTATGATTTGCATACATCAAACAATATTTACCACTTATTGTTTTTATTGGCTGCTTATGGATCCCTCTCCTTGCTGATGCTGCAGAGACACAGATTTGCTCCTGCATCCTGCCACAAGCCGCTCCCTCTGACCCATATAGGTTTGTTTCTGTCGCAAAGCCCTATGGTGCATCTGCACATAATTTTCAGCTCACAGCATCTGCTGCGGGTGTTAAAATCAAGGCATTCGTGTCCGACAAAACTACACATGTTTTCATGGACTTTGTATCTGCTAAGTGGCATTTATGTTCTTTTCAGACTTATTCTGGCTTATCCTTAGATATTTGCCGATTACATGAGTTAGATGAGAAATAGATGGATCCACATGATTAGGCCAGTATTGATGGTGGCTTACTACTTGAAATTTGCCATAAATAAAATATAAGTCATGAGTTTTTCTATTGTAACTATCTGTATAAAGAACTGTCCCTGACATTAGAAGAACAAATGTTTTTTCTTTTTATGGTTCAGAAAATGTAGCATCTAAAAAGAAACAACTAGTTTATTATTTCAAAGAAGATCCACTATAGAAAATGGCATTTCTTTGCTTTGTCATAGAGCTGGTAAAGATTTATATATATTTATATATCAGCCGACATTACATCTACATCCACAAGGCATAGAAGACAGGATTCATGCTGCAAAGTTTAAACGTAAAGATGAACTTCCACAAACCCAGGGGAGTCGTAGGGTGTTGTGTTACCAATGACGTATTGGTAAGGGGCAAGGTTACAGTTAAAAAACGAAAAGGAAGGGGTGTGCAGGTGGCGCAGTGGTTAGCATGCACGACCCATGTATGGCGGGTTTAGTCCTCGATGCGACAGACCCGGGTTCTAATCCGGCCTGTGGTCCTTTGCTGCATGTCTTTCCCCCTCTCTCATACCCCCTTTCTTGTCAGCCTACTGTCAGAAAAACTAGCCACTGGTGCTGTAAAAACTCAAAAAAAAGAAGGATGGAAGGAAAAAAGAGCAGGGTACAACAACAACTCCAGATGTGAAAAAAGGTGTGTTTAAATGGACAGATGAGGAGCATCCATACACCACTTTTAAAATGAACCTGAGGCTTTTAAATGAGTGGTAAAACAATCCATTTCGTTAAAAGAAAATTTGGTGTTGCAAGGAATTTTAAAAAAGCATCAATAAACAATATATATCTCTTATATTTGTATTCCTGACAGTTCAAATATTTTGAGACATGCACAAAAGATCATCTCTCTCCTGTCCTTTTGCCAATGCCTCCTCCTCTCCACAGTGACTGCAGACAGTATTTAAGGGTGCAAGTTTGCACCTACATTTTAAACATGTCAAATGAATTTTGCATTAAAAATTGCATTGCAGGCAGCTGATTACATTTGCATATCCTCCTCCTGGAATTTAGCCATTTCTGATGATCAGCTTGTGTTCTGGATATTCATTAAGGCAAAATGAGCTGGATCTCCTGTATATTAATATTATTATTATTTTAGTAGATCAGTTTTACTTGTGCACTAGTTCATTCAACCATGCAAATATAGTTGATCAATGTTTTCCTGATGCTGGCATCTCTATGTAATACCCAACATCTTAATGCTTCCAAACATATGACCCTGTCTTCAACCTCATTCTAAAGAAATTATTTAAACAATCTCATCACATTTCAGTTGGACAAATACAGAACTCACTGCAAACAACTGACTTCATTAACCCTGGAGAATGATGTTTAGGTATGTTGTTTGCATCTGACTTGTTTGGGAGTGTTTAGAAGGATTGAACTCCAGGTTCTTTCATCAGATCTCCAACCAGAGGTTGCTCTAGTGAGAGCTAGCAGAATTGACAGAATCCTGAATAGGTGTGGAAATATTTTTCAGAAAAGCTGGTTTCATCAAATTTCAGCCTGTTTCATATTTGTTGCAAAACTTGCTGATTATGCAAGACCCAACTTATAGATCTCAGAATTAGGGATGCACGATATTGGGATTTTGGCCGATATCCGATATGCCGATATTTTAACACTCATGTAGCCGATAACCGATATCGATACCGATGTTAAAGCTGGACAAAAATAAGTAGTCATTGAAAATAGCAGTTTTGTTATCCATTTCTGACACTTTGAAAAATAATATACTCAAATATATTTTCATATGCTGATATCAATTTGATTTTTAAAAACGCGGTATCGATCTATTTTACTTTCAAAATCTCGTGAAATTTCATTGTTCTGTTAAAAACTCTCGTGATATTTTGCAAATTCTTGTGAGATTTAGTTAGTAAAATAGATCAATACCGCGTCAATATATCAACATATAAAAATTTGGCAAAATTTTGTGAATTTTCGGGGGATTTCGTAGCAGAACGATGACATATAGCAATATTTTATTAGTAAAAGAGATTGATATGGTGTTTTTAAATGGCAATATATCAGCATATGAAGATATTGGGATATTTTAATGTGTCAATATTTTTTCCCTCGTCTTTAGAAGTTTTTAAGTCGTTTTTGAGGAAGAAGAAGTAGTAGTTTTTTTTTTTTTTTTTTAGATTTTAGAAACTCAGAAGCTGATGAAATATCGGGTTAAATATCGGTGGGGTGGCCGATGTCCGATAATCAGTTTTAAGGCCGATACCGATAGGGGGCCGATTATATCGTGCATCCCTACTCAGAATGTTTGTTTAGTGAGACACTTTGCAGATTGTATGAAAATAAAAATAATTCATACAAAGTTTTTGAGTCCTGCAATATTAATATAATTAATGTATAGATTTCTGACATGCTTGGAGAAAAATTCAAGTACATTTATTCTCATTAGGACTTTTTAAGATTAAACTCCATCTGAGCTTTCTTAATTATTTATATTAAATAACATCCGTTTAATAACTGCTGTAATAATAAAATGATCAATACAAACCTTCTTTTGAAATATTTTGAAATATTTTTTGCTCCTAAAAACTAAGCAGGAAGATCTAAATCTAAATATCCCAAGCTTACATTTCTTTTATGTTACGCTGTCAGTTTTAACAGAAAATTTATGTAAAACATAAAAAGGAGAAGAGCAGAGAAATGGCTCCTTCATCAGCAGCTTTATGTGCAAATCTTTCGCTTGAGCTGCTCAACGGATCCATTGAGGCTACCCTCCCTCTCATCGTGCCCTGCAGCCTCCTTATAATTGGAGCGCTCTTTGAGCTGATCTGCTGTGAGATTGGAGGATGGAAAAACCCTTTGCCCTGTTTGTTTGACTTGCTGATGCCTTGGCCTGCAGCAGACTCTGAATGACCAGAGTAGTGGTGTTCTTTATAAGCTAAAACATTCATTTTCTCTGCATTATTTCTCAATGAAATGTATGTTTGTATCCTGTTGATGCTATTATCAACAGACAAAGATCCAAAAATATTTTTGTTGATGCTCATATGGTGGTTTTTAAGAACATTTGCAGTGATTTACAGTAATAATTTGATGATAAATTGTATATTTGTGTGATTTGTGCACCTGCAGGGCTGCACAGCTCGTACGCCGGTCACGGGATGCAGTTAGATCCAGAGCTGAGGGCCGCCTTGTCACCCGACTGCCAAATGACGCCTGTTTTCGACGACCGCTCCTTTCAAAGCCCCCTGTACCACAGCCCCACCCACGACCCCCAGGGCTCCCTCTACAGAGCAAACACAGGTGATACACCTCCAGAACTATTTCTCACATTTTACCTATAATTCCATCCAATAGTTTTGAATTTTATCACTTAACAACCCAATCTTAAATGTATTTTAAGGCTGCAATAAGACTGAGAATTTAAGCAATTTAAGCTTTGCATATAACTTTTTGCATCAATTAAAAGTACTCACAGATTACCTTTGAAATTAAAGTTCCTCTGCAAAAAGAAACATGTGGAAGCAAAAAGCAGCAATCCCCTTTTATTTTTCCTTGAAACTATATATTTTATGGTTTTAGTGGATTCCATGTCTCTGATCATGTTCCTTTTTTCTGATTTAAACTTATTTATATTGCAAAATAATAAATATTCCTTTTTTATCTTATGTGTTCTGTTTTTTATTTTAACTGTACCTTTTACTCCGATCCACTGCTGTGTTATAAAGTTCTCTACAAACACAATAAATTAGAATACACTTAAAGTTTTACCACTGATTATCGGTTCAATACAGTCTTGTTTTCATCATTATTATGTTTTTATTTATTCCATTTTAGCTCTAGCTCTATATTTAAAATATGTTGATTGTTTGCTTACTGCAGAAACGTTCATAAAATAAGTAAAGTCTGAAAATAATTGTATTCACCTTTAATTTGAGTAGGAAAATAAGTTAATTTTCCAATAGAATCAGTATTTTTACCCTTAAAATAAAATAGTTAGATATTATGCATATGAAATAAGAGACTGCAGTTGTTTTTCTTATTTTAAATATAAAGTGTCTCATTTACCTGCTTAATTCAAGAAAAAATTACTTACTTAGATTTGCATTTTATATTTTATTAGATAATATATATGTAATAGATAATAAAAATACTAACTAGGGGAGCTTTTTCTTGCAATTTTTATTTAATATGTATAATATTTTCTCAGTGTTGTTGTAAGTTTTTTTAAAGTAAAGTTTCCATATTGGATCTGAACTATAATTTTTCAAAAATTTTAACTGTTTAACATTTTTCTTTCCACTTTACTTTTATTGTCCACTTTGTGTTGGTATAAATACTTTTGTGTCTGTGATATGTGAAAAAGTAAAGCGGGGTGAATACTGCTGTATGGCAGTAAATGCTATCCTCACGTTATTACTATAAAAAAATATTAAGATTTTTGTTAATAACATCCCCCTCTAAATAAATAATATACTGTAGTATTTAATCCGCTTGCAGTTGTAGAAAGTCTGTCATTTTTGGCGTCAGTCTTTCAGAGCCCAAGACTCCATATTTCATTCAGTACAGTAATTTGCATTAATACAAACAATCCTGTTTCCACACCAAAGTTTGCCGCTCCATTAATCTTTAGGCCAAGCTCTGTTGGGTCTCATCAGAACATTTATTTTTTCTAAATCCCCGTAAAATGTGGATAGCAGGCTTGGAAACTGTGATTTTTATTGCTCCCTGAGGTCAGCTCTTAATTAGGCTAAAGCCTTTCATCTTCCTCCGCAGCTTCCTAATGGGGAGCATTAAAGCTGAGTGCTTTGTGGAGGGCGATAGTACGGAACCCTAGGACTTATTTTCATGTTGTTTAGTCATTATTTAAGCTGTCTTTCAGAAATTGTGTTCAATTAATTAAAAAAAAGGCTTCATTGCATTTTAAAGCTCGTAATGTGTTTCATATTCTCTAATGTTGCTTCTTGATCCAGAACCTGTTTGCTGTGTTATATTGCACCTGCAGGTATGGGGACCCTTCCTCGGACCACAAGCCATTGCGGCACGCTGCCGTACCAAAGAAGCAGCTACGGGCTGAGCTCAGCAGCTGCCTACGTCGACTCCATCAGGGTGTCCGCGGAGCCTGTGTTCTCCCACCGGCACTCTGCGCTGGTGGACCGAGTCATCACTCGCACGCCTTCCATCGAAAGCATCCACAAGGACCCCAGGTACTCAGAAACTCTAATATTTGAGTTCTTTTATGGAAAAAAACGGATTTAAAATAAGTTTATTTTTTCTAAATTTGAGCAGGCAAATAAGTATTTTGTCCTTTGAAATAAGATAATCAAACTTTGAACACTTGAAATAAAATGATGGAGCTGTTTTTGCAGATTCTAATCACTTTGCTTTATTGGAAAATGTATTTACTCACTTGCTCAAATCAAGCGAAAAAAGGATTTTCTCATATTGCCATTTTTTGCATTGTTCTTGAAACTATTCTAGCATCTCTTTTGTAATCAAGAGTCTTTAATGTCATTATATCAGCATAAATAAATGTTACTTAGTCAGCAAATCAAGCTGCACATGTATATTATGAACACATTAATTAAAACACTTAATGTGTTTTATCGTTATCTCCCTTTCATCGCCTCTTTTTTTCATCTTTTCTCCTTTTTTTATTTAGTTTTTCCTGTTCTACTTACATTGCAGTGCCCGTATAATCTGTAAAACTCCCTGCATGAATTATAATAAAGTTATTTATATGCATTAATCAAGCGGAACACTATGGCGATAGCCGTACTGCTCCACTTGTGAAAGCAAAATCTGTTGGTCTCTTTTTGGCATCAAGACAATTATTCTTATTGCCACATTGCCAGACAGGACACTGTAAAAAATAACAATAATTAAAACACTTGAAAATGCAAAGTAAGAGTATTCAAAATGTAGAAACAGGGAAACATATGTACATGAAATGGGGATGTAAAGTTTAGTATTCACATTAAATGCAGCTTGTGCTGAAACGGTCTATGAAACAGGCTGGTGGTTTAGTTTTGATGTTTAGTGTCTGCCTATGGGGGGCTGACTGCCTTACCATATAATAAGCCTTTCCTCTCCAGTGTCAACTTTTTGAAACTGAAGTGTTTCCCTTTCCTCACCAGCAGGGATAATAGTTTTCAATGTACTATTTAGAGTAAAGGATCCTTTAAAGCATTTCATGGTGGCTGGGGTCAGAGTGAAACGACAGTAATCATGGGTTTATTTATTTGTTTTTTGAAGCACTTTAGCAGAGAGTTTCAGAGAGGCAGACAGGGACTTTGATAAGCTGCAGGGAGAGGCTAATTTTGTCCAGAAAAACCCCTGCAGGTTGATCAGCATGATTATATTGTCTGACCTGACGCCATGTCTGAACCCGCAGCCTTGTTATTGTTAATCTCCTTCTCGTTATAAAGATCACTTGGTTCAGATGCAGAATGAGGCTGATCTTCTAAATTTTGTGGATTTTCAGTCCTTTTGCTGTTTGGAGAGTGAAAGTGTGCAAAGAAGCTTTTTAAGAACTGGGCTCGGCTGAGCTGCTGAGTGCTCATAACCTGTGACGGACCTGATGCCTCTCCACATACTGCGTCAGTGGTTGTTATTGAAGTCCTCTTTGATGCACTTCTTTTTCCAGTGCTTTGCTTGCTGGAAGTCTTTTTTTAAGTTCACTCCAGGCCCCTGCTGTAGGCCAGTCTGTCTCCTTATCTGTAAGTTGCATCCTGAGCTTTAAGCAGGGCCCACACTGAGCAGTCTACCCATGGTTTCTAGTTAAGAAACACCCTACCTGCGTTTGTGGGTAGCACAGCGTTAGTGCAAAAGCAAAATAGGCCATCCTCCATATCAGGATCACTTTCACTGAACACTTTCCAACCTGTGTACTCAAAGCAGCCCTGTGAGGTTTAGCATGCCTCTTCAGTTCAAATTGTAGTGGTTCTGATGGTTAGTTTGGTTCTGCATATCAGAGGTTGTAAACAAAGAATTGACTTATGATTAATTGTGGATTAGTGGTTTGTTAGATTAAAATTTGTTCCAGCTGATAATTGATAGGGTCTAATTAAGAGGAATTTATTGCATTGTTTTAGTGTGGCTGTTTTCCCCTAGAGGGCAACGTTCTTAATTCTACTCCTCACTGGTTTTTGGAAGAGAAGTAATGCCAGAGCGGAGCCCTGCCGTAGCACAAACATGACTCAAGAGTCCAAGCTGGGATTATTTACTGTTTAATGGTGACAAGGATGAAGAACGGACTATATGTGGTTCAGTTTGTAGGTATAAACACTCTATCCCCTAAACAGCGTCCAGTTAGCTGTGCTGCATGGTCAAATAGTGTAACTTCTATTCAATTCAAGTCACTGTAAGAGAAACAGAACTACACTGAAAAATAGGCAAAACTCCAACATCTATAAACAAAGGTGTTGATGGCAGCAGCAAAGCTGATATTTCTCTCCATGATGATGTCACAGCCAAACAGGCAGAGACCAAATGAAGCTAGTATGATGAGAAAAAGCAGAGAGAGCATAAAGTTAGAGATTGAACTAACAAAAACTGCAGAATGGGGGAAACGAGATAGACTGAAGCAGAATGATGAAAAAGGGTCTATATGTCCTCCAGTAGTCTAAGGCTATAGCAGCATAACTATTGAGATAGCTCAGGATAACCTGAGCCAGTCTAACTGTAAACTTTATCAAAAATGAAAGTTGTAAGCCTTGCTTTAAAAGTCGACAATGTGTTCCTCACAGACTAAAACTGGTAGTTGGTTCCACAGGAGAGGAGCCTGATAACTAAAAGATCTTCCTCCCATTCTACTTTTAGAATTTCTAGGAACCACTAGTAAACCTGCAGATTGAGAAGGAGGATTTTAAATTTTATTCTGGATTTAACAGGAAGGCAATGAAGAGAAGCTAGGATAGAAGAGCTGTAGCATTTTGGTTCAGCTGAGAGCTTTTAACCACAGTTTGTGGACTTCCTAATAGTAAAGAATTACAATATTTATTAAAAAGTAACCAGAGAGGACAGGGTTGTTAGGAAATACTGTTGTTTCTTTTGATTTATTGCATATGTCAGCACAAGGTCCAAAGTATGACGATGAGAATGTGTGGGACTATTCACATTTTGAAAACAAAGCTATTAGAGTCTAAGACAGCATTAAAGGCTGCATTTAAGCTATCACCTTCAATTTCAGCATGGATGTTAAAATCTCCGACTATGATGACCCTGTCAGTCATTCCACTCTAAAACAGATAGGGACTCTGAAATCTGTCATGATCGGTTTAGAGATAAACCCACATGCAGAACACCACTGGAGACTTGGTAAAAGATTTAACAGAGTTTATTGAAGTTTCACACAAAAGACAAAAACAAGATTCAGGTCCTGGTCCGGGCAGGATTCTCTGGCGTCTGCAGAGACGGATAGTTGGTTAGCTTGGTGTGCAAAGGAGTAAAATGGGTTATCAGATATTTCAGTGGATACCTTGAAGAGGTCCAGGCTAGTTCAGAGAGAGGGAACCGGTTGGGTCCAGAGGATGTTGGTTCAGCAGAGTGCTTGAGCAGCAGCAGCGTCTAGCTTCTGACTTCCAGTGAAAAGACCTTGGTTTGAGTGATTAGCTCTTTCCCAAAGAGCAGCTAGTGGATTCCAGAGTGAAGTCTTTAGGTTTGGCTCTCTAGGGCAGGCAGGCAGGCACAGGTTAAGCTCATCTAGAGCTTCTCTCGAGAGGCTGGTTTCCTAGGAGCGAGAAGACAGAGGCAATTTGAATTAGGTTTCTTTAGGAAGATAACGATTAGTAAATTCAGAGGCTCAGGTTTGCTAACAAAACTTGGCTAACACTGCGGCGTCGAAGGAAGGTCTGGCAGCTGCTTATAAAGGCCGGTCTCCTGATGAGCCTCCAGCCCAGGAGGATCCACAGCGCACTCTGCTGGAGAAGGTGGAGAATCTCCAGATCCCAACAAAAACTCATCTTAACATTTAGAGTAACGAGCTGGTGGACAATACAAAGTTACAAAAAGAAGAGTTTTTTTTCTTTTTTGTTGCTTTGTAATTTGAATGAGGGAATAAGGGTTAAATGTTCAAAAGAGTTGTAATTATTAACTGGCTTAGGAGTAATCAGTAAGTCTGATTGTTGCTGCTCCTCCTCGCCCAATTTCTGGGTATGTGAAAATTTAAATAACTAGAGGGAGTTGCCTCATTTATGCTCACATAATCCTCTTGCTGCAGCCAAGTTTCTGTTAGACAACATAAATTAATTTGATTTTCACAAATCAAGTCATTAACTAAAACACTTTTCTTTAAGAAAACATCTTATGCTAAATACACCACATTTAATTGTTTTAACTTTTGAATGTGCTGTGCTTGGAAGGTGCGGATGTGATGAAAGAAAAGAGGGAATTAAGCAAAACGTTTTCATTATGATAGAAAAAAGACGTGCTAGCAATAAGCACAGGGAAGATGAAAGTTTAAAGCATTTAATGGAGTTGAGTTTTAACATTAATTTGAGAGAAACCAAAACCCCTGTTTGAAAAATACTGCTAACAGAACAAAGTCTCTCTCAACAGATTGCTGAATTACACTAAAAACTGAGGGCAATATCCCAGTTAGCATCTACTTCAACGAAATGAATTGACAGAGCATGTCAGAACGACATACGTTGTCTTAATCTTACATCACTGTTCAGTGGAAATCACATGATTGTTCACCTTTTATCTCTATTTGATAAGCTGTTAGGTTCCGATTTTGTTGTATCTTATAAATGCTCATCTCTGCCTTCTGGGACGTTCATGCTGTCTTTAAGACGTTTCTGGTTTCTCATTTCTGGTAATATTTGCTGCAGTAACTGAACTGAAATAAATGGTTATTGAAATATAATTTATACTTTAAGAAAGGGAGAAATTCTGCTTTCTTTCTTTCAACTTTTAATAACCGAACTGCTTTAATTTCTTAATTAGGTTGTTTCTCTTAATATCAAAAATTTAACAATAAGACGTTTAATATTTATGCCTACATAGAAAACATTGACTGGAAATTGCAGGAGATATTTAGACTGTAATTGAAATGAAAAATACACAGAGTTATGTGAAGTTTAAATTTTGAAACTGAAATCAACCTGTAAAAGCTCACAGAAATGCAATGCAACTAAAGTTCCAGGAACCGTCTCTTTGTCCCTCCGCAGGGAGTTTGCTTGGCGTGACCCGGAGCTGCCAGAGGTCATCCACATGCTGCAGCATCACTTCCCCTCCGTCCAGGCCAACGCCGCCGCCTACCTGCAGCACCTGTGCTACGGAGACAACAGGGTCAAGGTGGAGGTAAGGTGACGAGTCGCGCTGAGCAGCAGTCTGGATAAAAATAAAACAGCTCGTCATACACAAACGTCACTCGTCATGTGGAAAACCTGCTTCCTTTGAGATTCCAATCAAGGCATTGCATTATATACATTATACATTTGTAATGTATCTAAAACCAGTGATTAATGATTTCTTTTTTTTTTACTTGGCATTGCTTCCCTTTGTGTGTCACTGCTCTTGGCATTCTCAGCTAAGAGAGTTTAACTTTACTTTTTATGAAAAGCAGCCAGACTCTGAGCCGAGGCACCATCTGCACCAAAGAAACTTTACCTGACATCGGTGCCAGAACTTCTCAGCTCTTTGTCACGCTGAAATGCTGCACGCTCTCTCCTCGCTCTGCTTCCCCTGCTGCAGCTGATCCCGTCACTGTGGCGTTATATCCGGAAGGCTTTCTAGTGCTGCTGTGTTTCCTTGAAGATGCACTTTTATTTTTTCCTCCTGACACATGCTCTTTACATCAGAATCTGAGGCTTTCAGCCGCAGTTTAAAACACAGAAGTTTAGGAGAAACAGGCGGGTTTACAGCTCCCCTGGGAGATTTTTTATTTAAAAATGGAACATGAGTTCCCTCTGCTTGTGTTTTGTCTGTTTATATATCAATTTCCTTGCCTATAGATAACACAATATCCAAAAACGGAGCTGGTTTAGCATTGGCAGGGTGTGCCGGAATAATGACGTGAACTGTCTGCTTTTCATCTGTAGGTGTGCCACCTGGGAGGGATCCAGCACCTGGTGGATTTATTGGATCATAAGACATCCGAGGTACAGAAGAGCGCCTGTGGAGCCCTGAGGAACCTGGTATACGGAAAGGCCACTGACAACAACAAGGTGGCACTGAGGAACTGTGGCGGCGTTCCTGCTCTGCTTCGCCTCCTAAGGAAAACCACAGACAACGAGGTCCGCGAGCTGGTCACCGGTACGTCGGCTTGTTTTGGTTAAATCTGCGTCAATTAGACTCTTAGATCTTAATCTTGCATCTTTGCGCTACTGAAATATAAATGTGGTGCAACACGGCTCATCTGATGCTGTATTAAAATCGCGGCTGAGGGGTGAAAAACACGTTTCAAATACAAAACGAGCTTCAAACAAAAAAATGAGAGAAGCAGACAAAATTAGTATACAGATGCAAACAACACATACAAAACAAAATATGCAAAGAGAAATGCAACAATTACAGGGAATACAGGGCAGCAAAGTGCAAATGCAATGCAAATACCTAAATGCTGCAAAGACACAACCGACTGAAAAGACATCCATGATCCTAAGGCACAGAACACATGCAGAGAAGAAGCTTATCTGCATAACAGAAGGGCTCCAAACCACTAGGGGGAGATGGTCATAAACTCATAAGGGACCGTGAATATTTGTTAAAACATGAACAGGATGTCTGACCAGAAGATATTTGGGTTTAAAAAACAAAGGTAAGTTTTCCTTTAGTGCTTATATAAAGGACCTGTATCATACAAAATTAGCTGTTTAATCTTTTAACTATATTCTAATGCTATTCCTACATTAAAATCATGCACAAAGTGGTACACTGCAAAAACTGAAATCTAGATAAATATTTTTTTCTTAAAACAAGAGCATTTTCCTTGAATTGAGCAGGTAAGTGAGACACTTACAATGGAACAAGACAATTTACATCAAAAGTATTGTTGAGGTTTTTATTGAATTTTTTTAAAAGACCCACCGCTCTGTTTAAAAGTTGCTGTTGTCATAGTTCATACAAGCTTCACGTGTCCGAACGTCCGCCCTAACCCTCTAAATCCTTCAATCACTATATAGAGGGGAGACTATATATTATAGTGACCTCAGTCAACTTACCGTTCAGACAGATAATAATACTTCCCCGTTGGTCCACTTTGCCATGCCTGTGCTATCTTTCTTATAAGTCGCCGCTGTCGGGTAGCAGCAGCCTAGAGATGCAGTGGGTCACTGTGACAGCAAATCCCATAATGCTTTGCTAGGAGGCAGGTATATCCCATAATGCTTTGCGCAGAGAGCTCTCCTTGCAAAGCATTCCGGCATATATCTGCCTTGTCTGAGACATTTCTTTTCTTCTCATATACTTCGTAAACAGTTTTTCTCTTAAGACCCTTGACCATTTTCAAAGAACTGCAGTGAGAAAGGTGAACTTCAATGACTGGCTAAAACACGTATACGCCTGAAAGTGCACATGTGCAGAAAAAGATAGCTAACGGGACTAGCCATATACATTTCAACAGAATGATTGACAATTAGGAGGACCACTTACTCAGATGATCCACCAAAAAATAAAGTTCGTCCTCAAACCCTTAAAGAATAAGAAAAAGAGATTTTACTTTCACAAGTGTAGCAGTATGGCAATTGCTCCACTTGTTTTATGCATGTAAATTGCTTTATTATAATTATGCAGGGAGTTTTACAGTTTATATGGACACTGTAATGTAAATAGAGCAGAAAAACAGAAGAAGAAAGGGGAAAAAGAGAAAAAAAGAGAAAAAATGAAGGAAAGAGGAGATAGAAAGGAGACAATGACAAAACATTTTCAGTCTGCTTAATCACCTGCAACTGGATGCAAAAAGAACAGCACAACCGAAAGACATGGTACGAGACATACAATAAACCTTGAAACTATCGCTGAAGTAATATTATTAAGTCTGACATGTACTCTATGTTACCTGAAGATATGAATGTGGGCTTTCTGTATGGAAGTGAATTAAGTGCATTTTATCTAATTATCTTATTCTTAGAGTAAAACTAATCATTTTATTGGCAAATGATCTTATTTACTGACTGAATTTAAGGGTAAATACACCTAATTTAAGAAATGTTTGTATATTTTTGGCTGGTTTCAAGCACTTCTTTGTAACCCTCATAAATTCTGCTCTCTGTCCTGGAAAACTAATGGCCGTTGTTGTTTTTTCTGCATGTTTGAAATATTACCATAGAAGAAGAACTTGGTAGAAAAAACTATTTTAACCACCTAAGCAAAGTCTGAACAAATGTTTTGCACTCTCTTGAGGTAGTTTTTGGCTTTTTTCATAGAGTAAACGGTGTAAAGAGCTGTAAGTCTTTGACGTAGCGAATGTTTACTTCCCATCTCCAGATTTCTGAATGCCAATATTAGAATAACACTCCTCTATCTATGTCTCCGGATGGCATGAACCATCACAAATACTAGCTTAGATGATAAAGGAAGTAGAACTTGCCTGATTGCAAAACTTTTATTAAAACCTTGCTCCATCACTGATCTGAGGTCCACGCTAGCTTGCTACCTCTGCTTTTTGTTTAATACATCCAAGCAAAATATCAACGCATAACAACTCAATGCCTTGCATTGCCTGGTTACGGTAGTTTGCTCCAATGGATGGAAAGATGACTAATTTGTATTTTCTTTTTTACAACATTTTAAAAGTTTGCTCATTTCTGTTCTAAGTCTAAACAAAGTGACTTGTAGTACAATTATTGCTCATTTCCTGTTTAAACTGGGGGAATAGGTTTTCTGACTGTGCATCCTGATTTTTCATAGATTTAGCACACAGCACAGTAATGTTTTTTCAAACTGTTATGGTCTTACCTTGTAATCTCGCTGTAAATCTGTCGGGGAGGAGCTTAAAAACAGCTTTTCAAGGCTTTACGGTTGATATTTAATCTTTTTAATTTAGCTTTTTTTCTCACTTTTTTGATACTTATGATATAAATAAATAACTTTTAACAGTATTCCCTCCAACTGTATCTCGTAGAAATTCATCTTTCTTTTATGGTCACCCCCAAAATGCCAGTATCAAATGCAATCTGTTTATTTTAATGAGGTGGAACCGACCAGTATGGAGTTTCCCATTGAGCTCACAATCTTTGCAGATCACCCACATCATTGCACCCGATGATTTAGATTTTGCAATTTAGCTCTCCTCATTTGGACTCTATAAATATGTTTTGATACGTTATGTTAGGTTTATTATTTATACATCATGTGCGTTGTTCTTCTGTTAGCCAGATTAGACAGAGTAGATGGCCTTCCTTCACATTGTGGATGTCACGGTGTGTACGGAGGTCATCTAATCAGGACAGCCTTCATGTCTTTAAAAATACACAGGATATGGGCACATCTTGGAGCCGGACTGATAGAGGAGAGCTATCTGTAACCCTGAAGCATAGAAGCAAGCTGCATGAAGTTCAAGACATTGATGGCGTGTCAGTTTCTGATACGGACAGCTAAACATCAACATGATGCAACACATAGACTCATGAGCTATAAGAAGGAGAAGATGACCTTGTTCGGGGCTCAATCTTTGCCGGACGCTCGCGGACGTGATTTTTGAGCCCACAGCTGTGCAAGCTCCAAGCATTTTTCTCTGTCCTGTAACGACCTGATCTGGAATAAACTCTGTTATTTTTTACTCCTGTTTTTATAGTCCTTTTTATACGGTTTTACCCAGTTTGAGTTAAGAGTAGTAAATAACTTGCTCCCAGGAAAAGGACCGTGAGGAAGCCCCTGAGGCGCAACGGCTTTTTTAGGGGACATAACTTCCTCATTTTAACAGTTATATCATCATTTCGTGTGGTATTTAATACATCTAATGCACATTCTGCTATTTTTTACTACATGATTAGTTGTGTTTAAATACAAAATTATGCTACATGATTTTAAACAATTTCAGTGCTGCATAACTTACTAAGATGCCACCGATGCAATATCACAATCACAGAAAAATGCTTGTTTCTAATTAAAGAAAATCACAGACACAATGCATTCATTCGACATGTCCTTATTTTGGCACTTTGTGGTACATCAGGTTTAGTTTATCTATGAAGAACACTTTGAATAAGTTCCAAGGACAGTTATTAATGAAGTTTATAATTTTAATCAAAATAAAAAGCTTGATAATTAGGAATTAAAAGGCAATCAGTTTTCTGTCTCTATTAGCTATTGCCCTATAAAAGGTGCAGTATTTTACAGCTTATTCTGGCATCGCTCAAGTTTGATATCATGGTTCTTGACAAGAAAGTGGTGGATTTTACCTTCATGTTAGGTTTCCAACCCCCTGAAATCAATTATTTAGTTAATCTAAAAGTCTATAAGGATCGAAGAGCTGCATGACGAAAAATAAAGGTTCAACATTTCAATTTTTTTTGTATTCATTAACAATGTTTATGAGAAATATACAAATAGTTAAATTCAGGTTTGCTGCCAAATTGATGCTCGACAGTTAAGTGATTTTTAAACCTTTAAAAAAGATTAGATTTTATTTGATCTCAGCATACAAATGACCAAATCTGTCTCCAAATGATAACGTGACTCTGAAATCCCGCTGTGATGTGCGTGGGCGTCTTCCTGCCAGGGAGGTCTGTCGGCCAGCTGGCCAGCTCGCTGGCTGTGTATCGCTCTGTGTCGCCGTCTGACTGCCTGCCTGGCTTGCAGGCGCTGTATTAATCCTCGTATCGGCTGTTCAGTGGGAGGTGAGAGAGGCAGAGGCTTAAACAGTCGCCGCACACTGTTGACGGAGCGGATCTCGGCACAGTCGTCGGGACAGATGCTTAGATAATGTGCTTTGGAAACAGGATGGAGCCGATGGCTCTGCCCATGCTGCTGAACACCAGCAGATCTGAAGCTGTTAGACTCTCAGAATCACAGTGGAGAGTCTTTCAGACTGAAGTTTCAGAGAAAAGCTATTTTTGAAAACTCAGCTCAGGAGTTGGATGACTGCAGAGCTGCTATGTGGTTGCAAGGTGCTCTGCTTCTTTGAAGACATTCTCCAAGGATCCACAAGGTGTTCAGTGCATAACATTCAGAAACGTGTCTGCATGTTTTAAGCATCACTGAGTCTTTCATGTCTTCTACGGAAAAAAGTGACTTTTGTTGGAAATGTCTGTTTGGGAGCTCAGAGGAGTGACCACTGAGGAAGGTTAAGGAACTGCAGGGAAGAACTATGGAGGATTTGAACAGGTTTACAAGCCTTTATGGAACCATTTCTACACTCCAAACATCTGTTTATAATTTCAAGTTGTTTAGGGCTCTCTCCACTCTACCAAGATCTGCAACAAGATCTATACTGCAGCCTTAAAAATGTTTAGAGTCATTTTGCTGCAAATAATAAATAACCTTTTTTATGAAACACAGCTTTTTTTTTTTTAATATCTACTTTAATTCTATCTTTTTAAAAAAGGAAGAAAAATAAGCAGGAGAGCAACAACAATCCATCGGAAATGTGTGGGTAGAACCGAGCCAGAGACCAAGCAACAAAAAAAACAAATAAAAAGAGCTTAAAATACGGTATCTTTTAACTCCAGTTCTAAATCACCAGCGCTTGGACAGAGGAGGAGCACATAAGGTGTAGAGCCGTAATACTGCTTCAAATTACACGTAGTTTCTATATAACCTAATATTAGAAGGGTATAGGCTTTAATTTATATAAGTATGCATTAATAGCTTTGAGCCTATTTTAATTAGATAAGATAAATAATTAATTCAAACATCTTCACCTACATAGGAACAGAGATGGGCCTCTGAATTACATTAGCAGCTGTCCAGCATGGAAGTGACTAGGGGTGGGTATTGGCAAAGAAGTCATGATTCGATTCAAATCACGATTCACATGCCACGATGCGATTCTATCACGATGCATCACGATACTTGAAATATTGCGATGCGTTGTGATATTTTCACTGAACACTGTAGGAAAAGGATACAGCCATTACCAGTGGCTGACTGGCTGGGTGTGATCTGGATCGTGTCTTCAATTGATACATAACTGAAAGCAACTGAATTCATTCATAGCTGTATTTATTGAAACAACTTTTGGAGGTGTTGCCATGAAAACAAATACTGGACAGAAATATTACTGTTACTGGCGTGGACACACTGACAAAAAGATTTTAGGATTCATCAAACTTAAAATAACAAAATAAGGATAATCAGTGCCGTTTAATGTATTTTATTTGTTCTTTTTTTTATAATCGATTCTTGGCTTCAAGAATGGATGCAGTAGATCACAAAAATTAGAATCGCGATGCATCGTCATGACGATTATTTTGCAAACCCTTAGTAGTGACGGTATTAGGCTTTGATAAGAAGGAGGGACACAATTCCAGTCAGAATTATTCCATAAACGCGCCCGACGCGCTGCTTCAGCTGCTCAGACGCGCTGCGCCTGCTGCTCAAAACGCGCCGCGGGACCTTTTGCTGCGCCTTGACGCGCGTCAACCATTGACTTTGCATGTAAACTCGCTGCTTCTGTCGCGGAAGCTGCGTCCGGTGTGAACGCAGCATAAGCCTCTCGGTGGCTAAAAACATGTTTCGTTTCCAAATCTAACTTGATTTGGATATTAGAGTAAAATCCACCATGAAATCCAGTCTCAGTTGTTGTTTTAGGTGGTATAATCATTCCACTCTGGGAAAGCAATGTTAAAAATATAAAATCAGAATCCCAAGATCATGTATAGCCCGTCTTAAACTGAGCAACACTGTTTTATTAAAAGAATTAGTCAATCTATATCTTCAACCCTTTATAGGGCAAGTTACCAATTTGGATTACTTGCATACCCATTACAAATGGAGTCCCTTTGTCAGTGGCGCATCCAAAAATGTTTCATAGGGGTGGCCAAATGGGGCCACTAAAAATCTTGTGGTGGCCACTGAAAGTAAAAGCCATAATTTCAGAGTTTGAATCTACAATTGTGGTAAACCTGCCTTTAACACCATAAAGACTTAACTAAACACCTACTCATATCTTGGTTTATTTTGGGCCAGTGGGGTGGCCAGGGTTTTGCACAGGGTGGCCACCCCTGGCCAACACCTGGTGGTGCGCCACGCCACTGCCCCCGTCCCTCAGTGAGGTCTAGAAACACAAGATCTATATCCAGCCATTCAGCAAAAATACTGCTACATGGCTGTACATCTTATTTTGGCGTTTGACCAATTAGATGAGCCCTGGAATGATATATTACCTACTGTAAATTTTAACAAAAAGTTGAAAAGTAAGCCTAGTTAACAATTACATTTAGGTTTATAAGCTGCAAAATGTAAGTGCCAGTATCAGCATTAATGCCTCTAACAAACAAAATGTGTTTCTCTCTCTGAGTATTTTTCATAAATTCCTTATAGAAGCACTAACATATTCTGGCAATTTGGCGTTTCTTGTTATTACATTGACGTTAATTTTGCCATCAAAATATCTATATTTTTTTTATGTTACAAAGGTAATAAGGTAACACTATTGGCTTGAAATTTTGATTTTCAAAGTACTTCACTGAGTGCCCTATAAAGGGTTAATGGGGTTCAAGCTCCTGTAAATCTAGTGTGACACCTAGTGGTTGTATGATGCAAAATTCTGCATGTTTTATTGTATTAATACATCATTTAGGTCATTTTGATAAAACATGCCTTTGGTACATCTTAGGCTGAATTTCTTTGCGTCCTGATTTGACAGGAGTCCTGTGGAACCTCTCCTCGTGCGACGCTGTGAAGATGACCATCATCCGCGATGCCTTGACCACGCTGACCAACACGGTCGTCATCCCGCACTCCGGCTGGAGCACAGCTTCTCACCGCGACGAGCACAAAGTCAAGTTCCAGTCCTCCATGCTGCTGCGCAACACCACAGGCTGTCTGAGGTGAGCCGCTGTTGCAGCTAAATTGGTGATCCTTCATATATTGTAACCCAAGGAGGAGCTACATGTATTTCACCGTAGACTTTTTTAGGTTTAGGTATGAATCCTGTGATCTAAGCAGCTTTCAGAGCATCCATCAAGTTCAGATGGCTCAAGTACAAATAAGGTCTTTCCAAAATATTCAAAAGCTTTATTGTGTGTTGTCACAGGGACAGTTTTGTTACTTTTATTTTAACATTTCCTCACAAAGAACAATGTCACACATAATTATTCATACCTATTAATGATTTTATTTATTGTCTAGTTATAGGCAAAGTAGACAAACAATTTCCAATGTTTTGCATGGTGATGGCAGCATCATGCCGTGGTAATGCTTTCTTTAGCAGACCCCTAGAAGCTGGTAGAGGTTATGAAAGGAGCGCTGGATTTTTACAACTTCATATTTTATCAAAAAATACAATACATCTTAGTCTAAATGATGAAGAAGCAGACCTGACAGGAAAGTTCTCATTAATTTTTACATCTTTTATCTATGTTTATCAGGTAAAAATAAATCAATTAAACATGAAATTGTGAAGCTTTTTGGTTAGGAAAATAAATTTGGGCTCCGTAGTGATTTTGGCCTCTTTTACCCGTTTCCTACTGGCCGAAAAACCCGTTTAAACCCGGGAACAATCAGCTTTTGGTGGCAACGAACAGCGTTAAAATCACCTCAGCTCTGATTGGCATGCTGTGGGAACACCAGAGCCGGGTTGATCCACTAAATTACAAGACACCATTGAACCATTATTTTGCACCACAAACATGGCTGAAACTTTTACAATCCTTATAAATAGGTGGCAACTCAATGTTCTACTGCATTTTGCACACTATTTATTTTGCACTGCACTGAAACTTTCCAAATTAATGCCTTTTGCACCATTTTTTCTTAAACTGGTTTTCCTTTATTTTCTCCAATACTGTTTATATGAGGATAACTGCTGCACTTTAAATGGCAATGCTCATTTCACTGTTGTAAGCTGTAAGCAACCTAATTTAATCTTGTATACACTCTGTATACAAGATGACAATAAAGTTTGAAAGTCTAACAACACAATGTACGGATGTCAACACACTGCACCGGTTTCGACTGATCTAACAAGAAGAAACAACTATGTTTACATCCGATAAACATTGAGCAGCTCTGGTGAGAGGGATTTGGAAAGATAATAGTGCAAAACGATAAAAAACACTGACTACACCCTGGCTTCCTTTCATGTTGCTCTCCATTGTTTACTTTCCTGATTTTTGTCGCTCTGGTGACATCATCAATGCTAACCCAGCGTGATGAGGGGAGACCAGTTTTCTTTGCCAGTGGGAAGAGAGCTGAATGCCAGTTGTTAGCGGGTCGAGCCATGTTTGAAAAACACTCGTTAACCCGGTATTTTCAGTGGGAAAAAGGCTTTAGTAAGAGAGATCGGTAGACCGGAGACTGAGGTGGAACTTTACCCTCTAGCAAGACTACTACTCTAAGGCTTAAACTACTATACTAGGTTGTGTTAGAATGGCCTAGTTAAAGGCCAGAGTTAAGTATTTTACAGTCCTTCTTCATCCACTCTGATTTATCTTCATCTGTAGATGTTAGAAGCCATAGATTTATACCCATAAAGACTTGAATCTAAAGTATTATCTTATTCAAATAAATCTTTTGGATTTTTTATTTCTGTAATTAATGTTCTCCACTTCATCGTAATGTGTCACTTTGTCGCATAAAATCCAGATTTTCCATTACTTTTATTGATGTTTGTAAATGCAAAACAACAAAATGTAATAAAAATGAAATCCATTAGGATTTCTGCCTCTTTAGGCTGCCGAGTTGCTTGTTGTTTCATCATTAATTCGGTTTGTCTTATAAAACACACTGCCATCTGGATTTATTTGTCATGTTAATGATTCTGTAAATGTGGCTCATAATAACGTTGCCCCATCAGTAACAAATGCAGCTGTGAAGAGCTGATAAAGCTGCCTGGTGTCTTTGTCTTTATTAATTATCTGCAGTATTAAGCTTTAGAGGAACAAACACGGCTCCTTATAACATAAAGTGTGTTTATCCAGAGGTTAGTTTATGGTGGTTTGTGCAGTTTTCCCTGAAGTGGGTCTGCATCTCAGAGGAAAATCCATCACCTTTAGCTGCTCAAAGAGAGCGTACTGCATGCTCTGCAGCCTGCAGCATTTCCATTCATCCAAAGCTGTACATTAATGGTATAGAAATGCATTGTGGGAGTTTAGTGCTGCTGTGTCGCTCTCCTGCTCCTATTGGAGGGGCGGCTCCCTTCTTTCCTGTATCCGGGCAGGTTTGGGCCACCATGTGGGGGAACCCGTGCACTGCAGCGTGGTCTGAACTACATGTGTTTGTGTGTCAGGAACCTGAGCTCGGCAGGGGAGGAGGCGAGGAGTCAGCTGCGCTGCTGCGAGGGTTTGGTGGACTCGCTGCTGCACATCCTGAAGGCCTGCGTCAACACTTCGGACTACGACAGCAAGGTGCTGCAGAGACCAAAACAGCTGCTGCTGTTGATCACAGTTTATTCCCAGCAGGAGAATCGCTCTAAATCAGCTAAAAACACAGATGATAATTAACCAAAGAAATACTATTCACATGGTGCATTTATAAAATGCAACTAACAATTTAACAACTAATATGATTTCCCCTTTTCTGTTTAAACATATAATCATCATAGATCTGTAAAATAAAGATTTTCTGATTCCGTATTAGGAAGGGACCAGGAAACATTTAATGTGGGAGGCAGGGCTGCAGGGTAGTAGCTAATGTCAAAAATGTTTGAGTAATTTAGGTAACAGTTCCAAGTTGAAAGGGAATTCATTTTTATCTGAGCAAAACATTTTCTCATTTTCTCAAAACTCTTTTGGAAATTGATTTGTAAATTTTATTTTTCTTGTCCAAATGCCAAATGTTCAAATTGCCCAAAGACTTTTTTTATTTTCCTTATTTTTCTTAACCTGATGTTCCAGCACAGGTTTGGGAAAAGGGAGACGCATGTTAATAACTTATATGAAATTTAATTTATCTGACAGTTTCATGTAGATAATCAAAATAAAACTGCAAGTATTCTGAAAGGTATAGTGGAGGATATTCTTTTTCTGGGTGGAACATCAAAATAAGTGGTCCTCCTAATTGTCAAACATTCTGGTGACATGTTTACATGCTGTCCTATGTGCTCGTCCCCACTTTCACTTACTGGTGGTGAGTCTGACATAGCGGGAAAATTGCAAATCTCCTTTTGGAAAGTAAGCTTGTATGAACGATGCAAACAGCAGCTTTCAAACAGAGCGTGCAGGAGGGGAAATGGGCTCGTGCACGCTCTCGCACATGTTTAATAGGTGTTTCCTTTGTTTTTATGTGCACTTTTTTTTATTGGAGAGGGCAGGTCTTCAAAAAAAATCACAAAAATCCTCCACTATACCTTGTGTGTTTTTTTTCTGGTTTATATTAGGGACAGACCCAGATATCGGCTGAGGGCCTGAAACAGATCAGGAAAAATCTGGATATATAATTCTAAAGGAGGATAAGCATTAAAATAGCTAAAGCGTCTTTAATGCGACAGCAGTTTTGTGAAATATTTCTTCAACACCTTTTGACAGGGGTAGTAATTTTATGAGAAAAAAAACAACTTTATTTGGTTGTTTATTTCTGCTCTTTAATCACTTTAACAACAATGAAGATTAATTATTGCTCCATAATAAATAAAAACAATGTTTCATCTCTTTGTTTTTTGTAAACATTGGTTTAAAATGTGTGATTTCCAACTTTACAATGAAAATTCCCAAATATCTAAATTCTAACCGTCAACATTGATAATTAAGAGCTTTAATTTGGCGCCACCTTCAGGCTGAAATTACACTTTTTTTTTAAAATGAAGAAAACAAGCAAATGAAACAATGTTTTTATTTTCATATCAGTGTATCGGCTGCTAATAGAAATATGTTTCCCCCTCAGATTGTGGAAAATAGCGTCTGCACCCTGAGGAACCTCTCATACCGCCTGGAGGTGGAGATGCCCTCCTCCCGTCTCCTTGGTAACCAGGAGCTGGACACCCTGTTAGGTTTCTCCTCACCAGTGAAGGAGCTGGACTACCTGTGCTGGGGGAAGAGAAGGCACGGCCGGAAGAGGGGGGGCTGGCCAGAAGGAAAGGTACGATGGCATCAGGAAGGCTGCAGGTTTAAGGTGGAAAAAAGTAGAGTTTCTATCTGAGGGATCAAATAATTGAGTGAAGTGTCAACATTTTACTGTATTAATTTCAGAGGTAAAAAAAACAAAAATATAAGGCATTTTTAAAGCAATAATAACGGATTTTTCTTCAGAACTTCTTTAACTCTTATTTTGATCAATAGATCAGAAGACAACAGAAGAAAATCAGTTTTAAACTCCAACCACGTTAAGTTTATTAACTTCATCGATCAAGTAACACAGGTAGCAAAATTAATGGAAAATAGTAGAAAAATCCAGGGGGTGCTAAAACATTTGTTTAATAGTACATATATCCCAATTTACAAACCAAAATAATAACAAATGTTATATAAGATAGATCTGAGATATCAACATTTGACAGAAAATAGAAGAGAATAATAGGGTGTAACTATTATCATCTACTTAGATAAACCTCCCTGTTTATTTCCATCATTTTCTCCTAACCATGTAACTTAGCAATTAAGATGATTTATTTTATCCTGACAAAAGGGATCTCCTTTTCAAACAATCTTACTCCTGAGGGAGATAAAGTTAAACATTAGAATATATATATTATTCTATTGGTAGGCTTTTTATGATTAACAGAGAACTATACATATGTATTATATTTAACAAACAAATGATGGGACTGGTATCCAAAAGGTCCCAAATAACTAATAACTAAGACAGATTTTAATAAGTGCCTTAAATAAAAAAAAACATAGTGAGCAAGACCAAGCGATGCCTGAAAGAGTTCAAATAGACACAATAAAAAAAATAAAAAATGCACATTATAATAAACCCAGAAATAAGATCCCAATAAAACACAAAAGCACAAAAAGTGTCTGAAATTAGTTGCACAATAATCTGGAACAACCTGAAGCCTGCAACAAGAGAAGCTCTGTAGACACGCTGTCAGAGTTTAATGTGTTCCTGTCCTCCTGGCGTTGGTGCAGTGGGACGGTGCTGGACCCATCCCAGGTTTCTCCCAGTCTCTGAGGGGAGCAGAGCTGCTCTGGCACCCTGTGGTGGTGAAGCCGTACCTCAACCTGCTGGCTGAGAGCTCCAACCCGGCCACACTGGAGGGCGCCGCCGGCTCGCTGCAGAACCTCTCCGCTGGAAACTGGAAGGTAGATCATCTCTTTGCATTGGGAACTTATCATTCTTCAATAAGAAATGAGGGATGATTCCAGGCTTTTGCACTGTACTCTCTGAAAAATGAAGAATGTGAAAATCTATATTCGTTTATATCTGCAGTTTTCCGCCTACATCCGAGCTGCTGTGCGTAAAGAAAAAGGTTTGCCCATCCTGGTGGAGCTGCTGAGGATGGACAACGACAGGGTGGTCTGCTCTGTCGCCACCGCGCTCAGAAACATGGCACTGGATGGCCGCAACAAGGAGCTGATAGGTACGTACACACTGACTGAGAACATAGATCCAACAAATTACAATAACATCTATGACCCAGACATCTCTCTTTTCATTCCTGTTGAATTATGTGCTCGTCGTCCTTTTGTGGTGAAATCTTTTAACATTTCATCTTACTTACAGTCATGAAGCAATTTCAACTTCTGATACAGAGCAAAATGTGCTGCTGCTGCTGTAGAAATAAAGGATCCAGTGTGAAAAACTCTAACGAATGAATGATGTTCCTGCAGGAAAGTACGCCATGCGGGACCTGGTGAACCGGCTGCCAGGCAGCACACCCTCTGTGCTGTCTGACGACACTGTAGCATCGGTCTGCTGCACTCTGCATGAGGTCACCAGCCGCAACATGGAGAACGCCAAAGCTCTGGCCGACAGCGGAGGCATTGAGAAGCTGGTGGACATCAGCAAAGGTCGAGGGAAAGGGTAAGAAGAACATGCTGTCTCCTTCATAAGCATTTTTTCCCAGTAGAAAACCATTTATTGCTTTGATCATTACATGATGATTCCTCCATGACTTAAATGGGAAGCAACCAGTGTGACCAGTCCAACATTTAAACTTGTTTTACTCATTTCAACCTTGAGAGACTCACTCAGAGTTTTAATGAGAACCTTTTTATTTGCAGGTAACAGGTTGTTCAAAATGTTTCCATCTAAAGAAAACATATCTGCAGTCCCTCAGAGCAAGCATGCATGTAGCGACAGTGGCCAGAAACCCCCTTTTAACAGGAAGAAACCTTCTGCAGGAAGCAACCTGCAGCAGAACCAGGCTTAGCGTGAGCGGCCATCTTCCGAGGCCGACTGGGGTTCAAGTAGATGGAAAAAGATAGTGACATAAGTTTAAAAAGTTATTTGGTGCTTGGGCCCTGGCAGAAGGTTTTGATGCTGTGAATCAACGTAGATTTGCATTAGTAACCCAGTAATGGAGTAGTCGTGTTGGCTGTAAACTCTTACTTATGTCTTTTTTTTCACTCTTAGGGTACACTGATAGAATTTTTTTTTTTTTTTTCATATTACTACTCATGCTCTGTGTTGCAGGTACTCCATGAAAGTAGTTAAGGCTGCTGCTCAGGTGTTAAATACGCTATGGCAATACAGAGAGCTGAGGAGTCTATATAAACAGGTGAGTTGAAATCTTTACCAAAGGTTATATTTTATGTTTTAGGGTATGTTTAAGTAAACAGTGTTGATAAATTTGACTAAATGTAATTTGTTAAAGTTATGTTGTGTCTTATGCAAACAGGATGGATGGAACTACACCCACTTTGTCACCCCGGTTTCCACACTGGAGCGAGACCGGTACCGTTCCCACCCCACCCTGCCTACCAGCCCTCTGCAGATGTCTCCTGTTATCCAGTCAGGTACAACCTCCGTCTGAAGCTCTGATGTATACATTTTTGTGAAACACCAAAGCATTATTGGTGTATGCACGGACACATATAAATTATATTTTTAGTGTGATTCATATGGACTCAAGGTACTTTACATACTAAAACTCACATATTTTTAGGGAAGCTGTCAAGGTAAAGAAAAATAATGTCTGAAAAACGTTGGTTAATCATAAAAAATATACTTAATTATTTTTATAGTATCACAACAGGATAATTTTTCTGTATCTTTTGACCCCATTTCTTAAGAACATTTCAAGGTATATCAACTATACTGATGTAGAAGAATTAAAGGTTAAAGGTCAAAGCTTGGAGCACTTTAATTAAAACTTTTATTTATTTCAAAAGTAATACATCCACAAAAAATCTTAAGTGGTGCAGAAGAAATATTACTTTCACAAAAAAAAAAAAAAAAATATATATATATATAAGAGATGCAAAATATGTAAATATTTACCTCTGGTTCTAATGCAGTGATAGACACCAAAGGTCTCTGCACCAATAGTAGGTTAAAGTCATATGAGACTGAGCTCAGACAGGGATTGCCTATTTGCCCAGTAGGATAGTAGTTCTGAGAAACAGGCTCTTCTCTGCATTACATTTCTCAGATTGAAGCCAAACAAAAAGAAAAAGCAAAACGATGAGGAACATCAGTTATGTTATTAAATGTTTGTGCCATGTTAAGGGCACTTGAGAGTTCAGATGTTGCCAATTTTGGTTTGGTACGTTAAATGTACATTAATTCTAACTGCAGGGATAGAACTCTTTTCACTCTAAAGCTAAACTTCCTGGTTCTGCTTGAATCTGTAGAACCCTCTATTCCTTTGCTGAAGCAGATGTGTGTCTCCCATGCCATCTGAGCATATTTCCTGATCTCCTGCATTGAAAGGGTTTTAGTTAGGCAGTAGGTGACTTCATAACTAATGCTCTCATAAAGATTGTAGAGGAGAGATATAAAGGTGTGGTTTTCCTCCAAGCACGGGCATTTCACCTCTAAAATAGGTGGATACGTTGGATAGCAAGTGCTTCATAGGTAAGGGTGAAGTCTGATTGGTTCAGTAACATAGCTTTAAACTGATAGTCGGGGTGTCTCCCCTCTCAGGACCTGCAGGCCACTGGTAAAGGGGAACTGAATGGTGATTGGCTGATTGAAATAATCTCTGCTGCAGGGATGTTAATTTAGGGGAGAGTCACTCCTGCTTACATCATTGACATTTGATCCTCAACATAACTATTTACATGGGTTTTCTATGTCTAATTATAGGTAAACATTTCTTGTTTTGTATTCACCACTAGGTGGCAGTGCAACATCCTCGCCTGCCATGCTGGGGATAAGGAGACACAGCTCAAACTACCAGAGGGCGCAGTCATCTATGCAACTCGACACATATTATGGAGACAGTTTACACAGACGGCAGTACACAGGTTTGTATTGTGGCGTTCCTCATGTTTAGTGTTGGAGCCCCTTATGTTTGAAAACTAATCAAATTGTCTGTTGGCAGGGTCAGATAAGAAAACTCCCTATTTTATCGGGACGTACTCCTCTCAGTCAGGAGAGGATATAAGAAGATCACAGGTAAGGAACCATCTCTAAATTATTCTGGGGAATCCCAAGACACTCCCAGACCAAAGGGGATATACAGTCCTTCCAGTCGGGTGCTTATGGAAATGCTGCTTCCTTTTGAAGCTGTTCTCATAAACTCTGACTGCCAAAATTCTGTGACTAGAGTTCGGACTGAGCTTGGATCGATTAACTGGGCCGAGCTTAATTCCTTACGACCGTTTTCACATCACGCTAGCACAGTTGCTCGCCTTCTAGTGACGATCTACGGTACTACTGCTGTTTACTAGGAACTTTTGGGATTATGTTTTGTTCCATCCGTCATCCATCCTGGATAGCGTCCTCCACCCAAATTGCAATAAGAGCCTTAGTCGCGACATCATCCCAGGTCGCACCACACTCTTTTGAAGTCATTTTTTAAAATGTAGTGTTTGCAGTTCTTCTTCTTCCGTTTTGTGACAGTTGCCAAGAACTTACTGATGCACATTACCGCCATCTAATGGAAGCTGACTGTAAATAGGAGATGAAACGGTCTGATCATGTGCTCTTTGTAGAGAGCCGAGTCACAACTGATCTGCGACGAGCCCTACTGTCAAACTAGTACTAGTTTAGCGCAGTTCCGTTGTGTCTTGCACAGTATGGTTCAGTTTGGGTGCCATTTACTCTCAACAGTAATCTCTTTTAACATACTTGGAAAGCTCTCGGTATGGTTTAAAAGTTTAATCTAAAGCAATTTAGAGCTGGTTGTTTTGGGATCTTAATGGATCAAGCTTTTAATTTGGGAACTCTTCTTCTATGTCATTAATTAAATGAGTTTAAGATGCCACATAAACTCATAATGTGAACATAAGGTTGTAAAAGCAGATAATAACGAAGAAAATCCGATTTTCCGATAAGAATTTTCTATAAGAATAATAAGACCTTGCTAACGAGAAAGTTCTACTCATAGAAATTATGGAACCTCTTTCGAAAAACCATAACTAACATTATCGGTTAAATGCCCAAACCAGCAAAATCCCATTTAATTTATTTTCTTAGATTTTTATCTTCTAATTGAACCAGTTTCCATTGCTTTATGAGATTATTCTGTGGAGTCAGGTTATGGAAATGTGTTAAATTTTTTTATACCGGGTGTCCTTCTTCTTGTAGCACCCAGAGCCATTTTATGACGAACCCGACAGGAAGAACTACAACAGCTACAGAATGTACCTGTCGTCGCCTCAAGGCTACGGCGAGGAACACTACGAGGACGAGGCGGTCCATCTGCCTTCCTCTCCTGACGGCTACGCCACCCAGTCGCTCCGATTTAAAGCCAACACCAACTACGTGGACTTCTACTCCACCACACGGAGGCCTTCAAACAGGGCAAACAAGTTCACTGGGTCCCCCGATTCATGGGTGTAGAGACAAAAAAATAACATTTTTCCGTGCGTTTCTGTGGATCGTTGTGCGTGGAGACTGCACTGTACTGTCTGTTTGGGTGAAAAGTTATGGGTGCATGTGAATCTGTTTGAATCTGTGTTAAAAATGGGCTGAAGGATCAGGATCCTATCGCTTTTAGCGGCTTGGTTGCTGAAAACAAATTATAGCCGTTTTTTAAACCAATGGACTCATTTATTTTAAGCTAATCATACCTACCATTAGGGATCTTTGGAAAAATTTAAATACATAAAATAAATATATCTCATTCCTGACACATCTTCAGCTACATTGGTGTGAAAAAGTATTTCTTTCAGATCATCAAACAAGCTTTGATTTTAGAGAAAGATAAAGGTTTTAAGATAAGGATTTTAGTTGCTAAAGACAACAAAAAGCTTCTCCAAACCTACCTGGCTGTTTGATTTCAACCTAATTGGTTGTTTCCTGTCTTTTACATCAATACATAGGTTTTCTTTTTCTTTGCCACACTGGAGTTTTTTGGAACCGGATCAAGGCCTTAAACTCAAGCTACAGGATTTTACTAAGCCTCTTAAAAACATTTACTTTGAAGCAATTCAGCTGTTAATTTGCTGGTGAGCTTTGGATTAACGTCATGCTACTCAACCCAAGTGTACTTGAGCTAAAGGCCACCAACCGATGGTGTAGCATGATGTGTTTTTAGTTAAAAATGTGTTGGTTTGACCACACATGCAGCAGAAAATTTAACTTTCACGTTTTTAGGATCATATGGAGTTATTTTTCTAAATGTAAGACAGGCTTATTTGTTTTTCTTGATCTTGGATCTTCGCTTAGGAGACCATTTTTTTTTTCCTTTCCTATCCTTAAATAAATGAATCACAAACCGAAGTTGGAAGAGTTATGCCGGCGGAGCCTTACATGTTGAGACCTCCTGGATGAGTCATTGATAGGGATGGGAATCGTAAACCGCTTCCTGTTCAGAACTGGTTTCGTGTGTTCCAATTCCATGGCAGCGTTTGGCAGCTCGCTTAACGATTCTCTTATCGATTCCAGGCAGCGATAGAGCCTAGCACTGGGCGGCACGAGTTACGTCACGTTTTTTACGCAAGTTACGCACACTGCATTCAGTAAGCAAGTACGATGTGACCAGGCGCAAGTCTAGAAAAGCAAAACAAAACAAAAAATGGAGTCCCATCGGGTAAACCGATCGAAAGTTTGGCTTCATTTTAAGAAGAAGAAGATGGCAAGGTAAGGTAGATTTATTTGTAGAGCACAATTCAGTACAAAGACAATGCAAAGTGCTTTACATGATTAAAATATAGGAAAATAAAACAATCAAAGCAAGTAGGGGAAAAAAATGCAGAAACAAAGAAGAACAGTAAAAACTTTTGGACTAACGAAAATAAAAAAAAGTTGAACTAATGTTTCAGTTGAACTGTTTAACAAGAACAGT